ATTAATTTACCAGATACCCATTTAAGACTGGGTCGATTTGGAAGCCAAGGTAATTTTTTTTTTAGTTAAAATAATTAAAAAAAAAAGACTCCAGATACGCCAGGACCTGGATCTACTTTCGGATCCGCAGGCGAACACCACAGCGTAACCAACAGGAAGTAACCCAAACTAACTTCTTCCCCCCCCCCCCCCCCCCCAATAAAAAATAAAAGGAGATTAATAATCATTTCCGATTATTTAGGTTGTATAATATAATTTATACACTGCTTAACACTTAAATATATAAATACTAAGGAAAGAAAATAAAAACATCCAACCTCACTTTAACTTGCTGAGAAAAGTTGGGTGCCGACTAGGATGGTGTTGAAAAAAAAAAAAAATGGGGTGGAGGAAAGGGGGGGGGGGGTGAGGGGGACCTGGGGCGAGGGATGTTTTTGTTTGTAAGGACTACCAGTCTAAATTGGAGGACTAGGCATGGAAGAATGTTAGGCTTTGAAGTTATTCTTGCTTCCGAAAGTGCTTTGTGAAAGCAGTTTCCACATATTGACGGAAGTTTATGGTTTCGCTACCTTAGCTACTGTGCTTAGTGCTTGGTGCAGCCCTGTGAGCTGTGTTTCTCATGAGGAATGCCTTTCATTTGTGCAGCCATTGAGTCGTGGTTTTTAATATGGCTGTCCGGTTACATGTGAGCTGGTGATTAGTGATTAGAAAGGATTATCATCACAGCACTCCAGACAGATCCATAGGTGCTCCGATCTCCTCCTCAAAAACTCCAAAAGTGTAAAACGACTGATGACGCCTGTTCTGTGTTGGATAATGAATGTGGGCTGGTAAAATTCCTTATTTAATAATTCTGCATGTATATTGTGACCGACCTTTTCCATCAACGACAAACTGCATTTCTGGTAGCGCCTGTTGGCTTTGGCGCTTCTAGCAACTCATCATCATGTAGCAGGTCCTTTGCAGAACGTCGCTCTCATCACAGTCTGCCTGTAAGAAACTCGGTCTCTTGCCAGTTCTCCCGCCTCATGAACTTTCACACTCAAGCAGTCACTTATATCATGTGCCCATCTTCGTGTCGGTCGGCCTCTGCCCCTCCTTCCTGGTACCATGCCTTCTGCTATAATTTTTTCCAATCCGTCTGGCGCTTGATAGGACCAAAATATTTCAGCTTTCGAGAAAGGATGCTGTTTAATAGCCAATCTTTCTGGATGTTCAGAACTTTTAAGATGTCAATATTTCTCATATTCTTTATCCATGATATTCTGAGAATCTTTCTATAGCATTTTTAGCTCAAAGGCCCCTATTCTCTTTCTTAAGGACTGAGAGATAGTCCACGACTCACATCCTTATGTAGCCACAGGAAAGATGCATGCTCTCAAAATTCTAATTTTTATCTCCTTGCTGGTGCTTAACCATAGACTTTTAAGGCTCTTCAATCTTTGTATTGCTATGGCCATCCTCCTTTTAATTTCTGTCGAACAGTCTTCATTGTTGTTTATTATAGAGCCTAGATATTCAAAGTTTGTGACATTTTCAATTTCTTCATCATTTATTGTTATTTTTTGGTGACAGCCATTTTTATCTGTGGACATTATTTTCGTGTTCTTTAAATTCAAGAACAGATTTTGATCTTCACTGTGCTTTTGGACGGACAATATTAAATTTTCCAATCCCTTTACGCTGTTCGAAAGGAGGACTGTGTTATCTGCGTAGCGGAGTTCCGGAATAGGGTTGCCACCAATTTTGAGCGGATCTTAACTGTCACAAGTCTGGTCATTTTTGACATTTCTCATTATATTTTCTGCGTATATATTGATTAGGTATGGTGAGAGAATGCACCCCTGCCTCACCCCCTTTTGCACCTCGAACCAATCAGATGTTTCACCAGCTGCTCTGATGGCTGCTTGTTGTTCATGATAGAGATTTTCAATTAATTGCACTAAATACGCTGGAAACCCCATACTTTTCATAATAGTCCACAGTTGGTGGTGCTGGACACAATCAAATGCCTTGCTATAATCAATAAAACAAGCATGAATATCTACATTGTATTCTTTGCATTTTTCAAAAATTATTCTCATATTAAATATGTGATCCCTAGTTCCTCTACCCTGTCTGAAACCCGCTTGTGCTTCATCTAGTTCATATTGTAATTTCCTTTCAATCCTTTTCATGATAATTCGTAAGAGGATTTTGCTAGCATGACCTATTACTGCGATGGTACGGTAGTTGGAGCATAGTTTTGGATTTCCTTTCTTTGGGAGAGGGATATAGACTGTTCTTTTCCAAGCTTTAGGCCAAATGCCACTGTTCTAGATTTTCGAGCACAGTGCAGGGCAGATTCGGACGCTGGCCTCTCCTCCTGCTTGAATTAGTTCTGCTGGTATTTCGTCGCAACCTGGTGACTCTCCTTTCTTCAGGCTGTGTATTGCTGATCGTACCTCATCCAGTAAAGGCTCTGGTTCTTTTTCATAACTTTCACAAGTCGTTTTTGAATTACCTGTCTCATCCTCATACATTTCTCTACAGTATTCTTTCCATCTTTCTAATATGTCTTTGGTTTCCGTTAATGTGTTACCGTTTTTATCACTTATATGCATTTACTACGTGTGCAAGTTTCTAGATTGCTACGGGACTAATTGTGTGTTTACATGTTTTTTTTTTAAATATTGGGCAGTGAGGGACATTTCATTTGGTTTTTACTGGAACAGTGAACGGAGCAAGTATAAAGAAACCCGATTGCAGTGAAGCTGAAACCTCGAATAAGACATTTCAAAAATTTGAAACTCTGATGTTTTTTCCTGGTTCTTATTTTTCTAAACTCTTTGTTCCCTTCATGGACTTGGTTGATGTTCACCAGGTTTGACTTTGATTAGAAATTCTTTCTAAAGAACTTTGCTTCTGATTTTTCTTCAGGATGTTTTGGAAATGTCACATTGTCTAGTCATTCCAGAAAAGGCTAATACGGATTGTTTAGGCTTTGAGAGTTGGTAGCCGGGGTGACGGTTATTTCTCTGCAAAGAGAGGTAATCAACGTTTGCCTTGGTGTCGTGACTCATTTTGATACGTGGAAATTCTAGCACGCGACTAGTTTTGATAATAAAGGTCGTATAACAAGCACAATGTTTCGCGTCTGCACAGGACGTATACCAAGTTTAACTTATTAGGAAGTGTACGTATAACGAGACACCACTGTATTTGTATAAATGCTTTTTTTTTTCTTTCACATGTGCCCTATGCGTCCAAAGGCGTGACAAGGGATCTATACTTTTTTTACTTTTACAGAAAGCATGTCCAGCCACCGAATTTTCTTGTTAGGTCACCCATATTTGCGCCACAACTGTTAGGTGTTTACATTTGCGGGCACGATTTGTCATGGGATACCATAGTTTAAATACATGTCTATCGACCAGAACAAACAGGAAAACGATGAAATAGCCAGGGAATTATCGGTCTTGAGAACCAGCCATCGTGGTTTGTATGGGTTTAGTTAGGTTTGTGTAACTACGTATGGGATTATTTAGGTTTGTTTTACAATTATGGGATTAGTTAGTTTTGTTTAACAACGTATGTGATTAGTTAGAGTTGTTTAACGGCGTATGGGATTAGTTAGAGTTGTTTAACAACGTATGCAATTAGTTAGGTTTGTTTAACATCATACGCGATTAGTTAGGTTTGTTTAACAACGTATGTGATTAGTTAGGGTTGTTTAACGACGGATGGGATTAGTTAAGGTTGATTAACGACGTATGGGATTAGTTAGGGTTGTTCAACAACGTATGGATTAGTTAGGGTTGTGTCACATATCGCTCCTGTCGCGTGCCTGATTTAATTATTTCTCCTTCGGAACCAATCTGCACTCTGAAATAATCATGTTGAGTCGTTGGCTCGTATTGGTCTAAGGGATGCCCCGTGGCCAATATACGCTCAACTTATTTCAGGAGTAGGGCAACTCAAGTTTTGGCACTACAAAATCTATAATATTCCTAGGCACACTTGGCTGGACACCCCCACTACTATAAAAAGGAAGCCCCCAGGTTATGATAGTAGACTATCATAGCCATATTAACACAGATAACACTTATTACTCACACAAACATCAAGCTAGACAGTTAGAATGGTGAAATAGAGACTGTGATTCGCTTAGGAAATCTACCAAGATAGAAATGGAACTTTGAATGCGACAATTTCTACATAGACTGTATACACGTCTAGACACTTTGGGATCAGGCGAAATAATGTATGGGATAATTTATGTTTGTGTAATAATGTATGGGATCTGTTATGTTTGTGTAATAATGTATGGGATAATTTGTGTTTGTGTAACAATGTATGGGATATATTATGATCGTGTAAGAAGGTATGGAATCAGTTTGTTTAACGTAATAAGGTAAATTTGTTAATAGGCTATGCACAAACTGTGGAACATTCTTTGAAAGATCTACCCTTTTAATCAACACTTCAGGTCACACATGTATCAAATGTATCACATCTAATTATGGGCTTAAGGACGGAAGCATTGACCCAGCTGGACCGTTAACCACAAAAAAAAAAAAAAAAAAACAGCAAGAACAACACCGCCGTCAACAACCACAACGTCAGAAGTAGCAACCAGCTAGCAACAACAACACAACAACAACAACGAGAATAACACTAAAAAGCAGATTTAACAATATATTTGTTTATTTAAAAAAAAAATTGTGAGTAATTCTGATTTCGTTTTTCGCCAATAGACACAGAAGCGGCAACGGACCGGAGAAACGGGAATTTTACCTCTGTTGCCCTCATACAGCTTGGCTATATTCGTATACAATTATCACAAGACGACTTTTTATCCCCAACCACTGATCTCGGTATCTTCGGGTAACTCCGGCGAAGTCCGAGTCAATGTAATGTCTCCGATGAGAACTTTCTAAACCGTTTCACAACTCGAAACCAGAAACATGGCCAAACGTTACTCTTGCCATTTAATTTTTATTTTTATCGACGCCGCTTTCATGAAGTTTCTTGCATCTGAAGGGTTAAAGTTCACATTAACCAGCAAGTGCCCCAACACAGCTTGTGTGAGTCAAGAGTTGGGCCAATTCCGGAGTCGACTGGAGTGTGCCTCTCACTGCAGGGCTACTGACTCTTGTGTCGGGTTTTCTTATGCCTCCGATGGGGTATGCCGGAGTTTTCAAGATGGATGCATCTTTGGCGCACCATGTACAGACGTTCAACACAGAGTCCTTGTCTACGAAAAGGAGGGCTGTAAAAACAGCGCTCGGTGGAATAATACACTACACATTTGCGAATGTGTTGGTGGTTGGGTCGGTAAGTTGTGTAGTAGTTATCTGACTAGTTAATTGCATACTGAGGTGGTTGCTTGTTTGGCTTTAGAAAATGCCGGTCAACATGCCGGATCACCTGTCTAACCACCCGTCTGTTCTACTTAACCTTTTAATCACCTGTACCTATTTACAATGTTACTTACCTCCAAACCTTCTACATGCCCATTTAACTTCCTACTAGTCTACCAATCTGAATGTTTGCTTGCCAGTCTACCTGCTTACTTACACGGGTGTGCATCTCCTTACCTTAGTACTATCTGTCTTGTTATTTACCTATCTGACTGCATATTTATTCAGCACAAACATTTCAATCAGTTTGCCTGAATATCTACTGGCTGCTTGTCTATCTAAAAATCTACTTAAAGGTAAACTACTTTGACTGCCTTCCTACTTATCTAATTGTCCACGTAACTCTTTCAATCCCTTAAGATCTCACAGAATATGCCTAACGGATATTGTACAAAGAATAACACGTACATATACTACTTTCGCAGGGGCAGTATGTAACCTAGAAAAAAAAAAAACAAACATGCCATGTTGCATTTTAAAACAAGGGGTCGGATGTTGCCATGTTGCATTTTAAAACAACGGGTCAGATGTTAAACACTAAAATCGGTTCACTTTGAGAGTTGGTCAGGACACATTGGCAGTAAGTAGTTGGTAAGAGTGATCCATTGGTTGGTACTGAACAAGTTAAAGGGCTGTCTACCCACCCACCCACTTACCTACCTTCGTATCAACTACATAGTACTTATCGATCAACCGCTTCATATAATCTGCTCCCCCGTGTGAGTTCAGGGGCCCTATTGTGGGGAAAACAGGAATAGACCCACTGCCTCCCCAAAAGCATGTCGTAAGAGTCGACTAACTGGGGAGCTTCCTTTGAAGTCGGAGTGCATCTGCCTGAGAGGCAAGGAACCAACAGTCTACATTCAATTGAATCAGATCTGTAAAACTGATGCACACGCAACACGCAGGTTTTGGAGCAGGACTGCAGTCCAGAAGTGGATGAACAACCAGAGCTTTACGCCAGAGTGTACAGCTGGTGAACGCGAATAAGAAGAAGAAGATATATTCGACTTCCCTCACTAAATATCTACCTTCACTAATGTTCGTTGTCCTATCTAATTATGCACATACTTTGTTGATCGTCTTTTTTACCTATTCACAAACCTCTTTACAGAACTAGGTGTCCATCTATCTAATTACTTGCTCACTTACTGATCGGATTGCTTACCTATTTACCTGCTTACCTACTATCCTACCTACATGTCCTACCCATTGAAAATTAGCCAATCCACATGCCAGCCTTATTACCGGCATAAATATCTATCTGTTTGGCTATGTAATGCCTACACATGTTTTTACTAATTTGTCGGACTGTTTATTCATCTACCTAACCAACTGCATGATTGCTTACCCACTTACACATGCACCTAACTACTTACTACCTGCATGTTTGCCTAACCACTCAACTACCTGCCTCACAGTTACACAAATGCCTACCTACTTGATAACGGATCGGGAAGTTAGCACCCAGATACTTAAGTATCTGCTGAGAGAGACAGAAACATCATCTACGTGTCTCGAGTACCAGAAACCATAATTTCTGTTAACAAACAATTAATTGCACTGTTCACTTGACTATAACACCCCACGTGGGTTCCAGGGCCCCATTTGAGGGAAGGGGGAGTATAGACCCATTGATTGCATAGCAATTTTGTGGAGAAAAAAAATGACTAAATAAAGTTTTCCTTAATTCTGTGTCATGCTGAACAGTTCTAATAATGCTGCCTTGCCACAAACGATAACGTGCCAACCGGCCCTTAAATAGCGAGCGAAGAAGAAAAATTGGAAAAAGAAGAAGAAGAAGGAGAAGAAGAAGAAGAAGAAGAGGAGGAAGAAGAAGAAGAAGAAGAAGAAGAAGAAGAAGAAGAAGAAGAAGAAGAAGAAGAAGAAGAAGAAGAAGAAGAAGGAGAAGAAGAAGAAGCAAAAAAAAGAAGAAGAAGAAGAAGAAGAAGAAGAAGAAGAAGAAGAAGAAGAAGAAGAAGAAGAAGAAGAAGAAGAAGAAGAAGAAGAAGAAGAAGAAGAAGAAGAAGAAGAAGAAGAAGAAGAAGAAGAAGAAGAAGAAGAAGAAGAAGAAGAAGAAGAAGAAGAAGAAGAAGAAGAAGAAGCAGAAAAAGAAGAAGAAGAAGAAGAAGAAGAAGAAGAAGAAGAAGAAGAAGAAGAAGAAGAAGAAGAAAAAGAAGAAGAAGAAGTGAAGAAGAAGAAGAAGAAGAAGAAGAAGAAGAACAAAAAATGAAATTACAACTGTTTTCATTTCTTCTTGAACTCCCTAGGATCGAACTGTGAACGCCGTCCCCACAACTGTGCAGAGTTAAAGACGTTCAGATATGAGTTTAAAATACATCGTGTGTACATTGACGTGTACAGGAACATGTCCCGACTGGTGTACACACAATGCCGCATCTCCGAGATGTCTTCTCAAACCTACATCTTCGCCAACGGAGGATCGGAGAGCTACAACAAAACATGGGCCGAATATCTTCACGGATTCGAAATTGGAGAATGGCACTGGTGGTTAGGATTGGAAAATATCCTGGCGTTTAACCAGATGGGACACCGGACTATTGTCTTGTGTATTGTTCTTGACAGCGGCAACTTCGCCTGGGAATTTCGTCACGAGAATTTCACAGTCAATGAAGCAAGTTCAGGGTATGTTATTTCTCGCTGATTCTTTAAAAAAAAATACTTAATATTTTTCGTATGAATAATATAAGCATCATCATTATCATTATCGTCGTAGTCATCGCCACCACCACCACCACCAGATCATGCAAACAAGAGTGGATGAAATAGCCAGACCATTTAGATGAGCTAATGCGTAGCTCATATCAAGGCTTCCACCCGATGCTTTTTCAAAGTCTGACGCTAAAAGGCAATACAGCACTCGAGAAGAAGAAGCGGAAGAAGAAGAAGATGATGATGACGATGAAGGATGAGAAGGAGGAGGAGGAGATGAAGAAGAAGACAAAGAAGAAGAAGAAGAAGAAGAAGAAGAAGAAGAAGAAGAAGAAAGAAAAAATAATAAGAACAAGAAGAGGAAGAAGAAGTAGAAGTAAAGTAAAGAAGTAATAAGAAAGGCAGGCAGAGGAGGATGAGAAGAGAAGAAGAAGAAGAAGAAGAAGAAAGAAGAAGAAAAAGAAGAAGAAGCAGGCGGAGAAGGATGTGAGAAAAGAAAAAGAATAACTGAATCATGTCTTTGTTGTTATCACTTCCTGTATACACATTTCCTGTCACGACTGTTGCAGGTTTTCCTTCACCTCAGATTTCAAATCCAACATCAGCTATGGGCCGTACCCGATGAGCACACTATACACTCCAGAAGACATCATCAGAATGAGCCAGGGCGTTCCATTCTCCTCCCCCGATATAGACAGGGTACACTCAGCTGTTACTTTTCTTTTTGTTTTTCATCATGGTTATTTTTTTTCTCCTAGGAAATAAGTTGTCACTATTGTTTGTTTGTCGTTCAACCCCACCAGGACCGCACAACCAGCAACAAACCTCGGTGAAACAAAGTGTCACCATTCAGATGAGGATCACCCACGCACAAGTCCCATTCAACCGTGAAGTTATATTAGGGCTCCCGACTACTGCCGAGGTGGGGCTTTCAAGAAAAGAAAAGTTGCGTCCCACAAGGGGAGCGGAAAAACTGATTTTTATTGGTACTCGTCACAAAGTGTCTTAAAAAAATGGCGGCACTCACCGAACAGTGTTTAAAAACGGTGCCGGTACTCACCACACAGTGTTTAAAAACGGCCCCGGTACTCACCACACAGTGTTTAAAAACGGCCCCGGTACTCACTACACAGTGTTTAAAAACGGCCCCGGTACTGATCACATAAAAATAAATAAGTAATTGAAGAAGTATGTGGTGCTTCACCTGTTAGGGAATATAGAGGAGATGTATAGAGTTATATAATAAAATATCCCTCTGATGAATAGGTTATATAGCAACAAAAAAAATATGTGAGAGAAAGGGGTTTATAGTGCTACATTATTGGTGTTATTAAATTAACTATCTGTAATATGCTTCGCCCGTGTGTCACCGGGGCCCTCACGGGAAGCAAAGAATAGTGACACTGCACCCTACCAGGCATGTCGTAAGAGGCGACTAAGGGTAGGGTTGGGCGTGAGGTTGGCTACCCCATCCTGTAAAAACCATAGCCACAAAAACCAACCAAAAATGGATAAGTCAAAAAGAGAAGCAAATAAACTCCAGCCAACCAAGATGAGGGGAGGCTCTTCAAATAGAAGAAGTATGACACGGTGTGGAGAAAGCCGTAAGGAGTCCGGATCGTTGACTTACCTCCTCTCAGCTAGGAAAACCTCCAGAATTGGCACCTGGAATGTTAGAACTCTCTATGATATAGGGAGAACAATGGAAGTAGCAAAGGAAATGAAACATTATAGAATTAGTATTTTGGGGTTATGTGAAACTAGATGGACTGGGGCAGGGAAAAGTATTCTCAATTCAGGAGAAACTATTTTGTTCTCAGGACACACAGAGGAAAATTCGCCGCACAGTGAAGGAGAGTGGCCCTGATGCTATCAAAAGAAGCAGACAGAGCACTAATAGAATGGGAAGCTGTGAGTCCCAGAATAATAAGAGCATCTTTTAGAACAGTAAAACAGAAGGTGAACATGTCGGTAATACAGTGTTATGCACCAACAAATGATAAAGATGCATCTGTTAAGGAAGAATTTTACATGCAGCTTCAAAATATTATAAATAATGAAAGAAAGGGCAACTTAAAAATTTTGATGGGTGACTTGAATGCTAAGATAGGATCAGACAACACAGGTTATGAAGAAATTATGGGGAGACACGGTCTAGGAGTAATGAATGAAAATGGAGAATTGTTCACAAATTTTTGTGCAGGTAACCAGTATGTTATTGGTGGAAGGATTTTTCCCCATAAAATAATACACAAGGCAACATGGGAATCACCAGACCATAAGACAACTAATCAAATTGATCACATTTGTATTAACAAAAAGTTTAGATCATCCCTTTACGATGTTAGGGCTTTCAGAGGTGCCGATGTATTTACTGACCATTTCCTGGTGATAAGTAAAATCAAGTTGAAACTAAAAAGATATATAACATCTTATAATCATAGAAACCAATATAATGTAGGCTTTCTCAGAGATAAAGAAATTAAGGAAACAGTTCTCAGTTACGGTCTCTAATAAAGTACCAGGTGTTGCAGCAGTTAGCTGAAAGATGTCAACACAGAAGTCTGCTGGGATCAGATCAAAGGAATCTGGAATGAATCTTGCGTAGAAGTTCTTGGCAAGAAAGAAAGGAAACATAAAGCATGGATAACACCAGAAACCATTAAACTGATTGAAGATAGGAAAAGTAAAAAGGCAGAATTAAACAATAGCAAAACTAGAGCTGCTAAAGCTAGAGCTCAGGAGAATTACACAGAAGCCAACAAGGAAGTTAGGAGGCATATAAGGGCAGATAAAGTGAAATATCTAAATGATCTAGCACAAGAAGCGGAGACAGCAGCAGCAAAAGGAAACCTCAGAGAACTTTACAGTAACACAAGAAAATTAGTAGGTAAATATAGTCAGCCAACTGGATCAATCAAAAATAGTCAAGGAAAGGTACTTACTAACACTAAGGATCAAATGGACAGATGGGTTGAATATTTTGAAATGCTTCTAAATAGACCAGGCCCAGAGGTTCCCCCAGATATCCAGCCTTTAGAAATGGAACTGAATATCAACTGTGAGATACCACCCAAAGAGGAGATTAGAAAAGCTATAAAGCTTCTTAAGGAAGGAAAGGCGGCAGGCCCAGATGGTATCCCAGCTGAAGCCATCAGGACCAACATAAACACATCAACAGAATTGCTACATAGATTATTCAGTAAAGTGGGAGACCGAAGAAATACCAGCAGACTGGAGAGAAGGATATCTTGTGAAACTGCCCAAAAAAGGTGATCTACAGGAGTGTGAAAACTATAGAGGAATTATGTTGCTGTCAGTTCCTGGAAAAATATTAAGTAGAATTATTTTGGAAAGATTAAAAGATGCTATTGATAAAATGCTAAGAGATGAGCAGGCAGGTTTTCGGTCCAACAGATCCTGTACTGATCAGATAGCCACATTACGTATTATAATAGAGCAAAACATTGAACTGAACTCACCACTTTACATTGGATTTATAGACTATGAAAAAGCATTTGACAGCATTGATAGGGAATCTCTCTGGAAATTGATGGGGCACTATGGAATCCCACAGAAAATTATCAACTTAGTAAAGGCAACATATAAAGACATGAAATGTCGAGTTCTTCATGAGGGAAAGCTAACAGATGCATTTGAAATAAAAACAGGTGTGCGACAGGGATGTCTTTTGTCGCCTCTCCTATTTTTACTGGCTATAGACTGGACTATGAAAACAGTAACTGCTAACACCAAGAATGGAATTCAGTGGACCCCTACAAAACAGCTTGATGATCTGGACTTCGCTGATGATATTGCCCTTCTGTCCCATTCACGGAATCAGATACAAGATAAATTAAATATACTTAATGCGAGATCACAGCAGCTTGGTCTGAAAATCCATAAAGGAAAGACAAAGATAATGAGAATAAATCAGGCAAATAGTAATGTGGTTTCTCTAAATGGCACCCCACTCCAAGACGTGGAGTCGTACACCTATTTGGGCAGTAATGTAGATAAAAATGGAGGAACTGATAGAGATATTAAAATAAGAATACAAAAGGCAAGAGGGGCTTTCATAGCACTAGGGAATTTGTGGAGGTCAAAAGAAATTAAAAGAAATACTAAACTAAAAATTTTTAATTCTAATGTCAAATCAGTACTATTGTATGGGGCGGAAACATGGAGAACAACGAAGGCAATTACTAATAAATTACAGACATTCATTAACTGGTGCCTGCGCAGAATAGAGGGAATAAAATGGTACGATAGAATAACTAATGTAGAGCTTTGGGAGAGAACTAAACAGGCTCCAGTGGATCAGGAGGTGAGGAAAAGACGCTGGCGTTGGATAGGGCACACACTGAGAAAACAGGAGAACAGCATAACTAGAATGTCTTTGCATTGGAACCCACAGGGGCATAGGAATAAAGGAAGGCCAAAAAACACATGGAGAAGAGAGCTGGAGAATGAGGTTAGAAAGATTGGGAGGACATGGGGAGAGCTCCATGTAATGGCGAAGGATAGAACGACTTGGCGTGAGTTGGTTGAGGGCATATGCTCCATTGGGGGATAGAAAGGCAGAAGAAGACCCGGATAGCGTTCGGATGCCAGGCGTATGGAGCGAAATTTGAAGAAATGGAGAAGTAGATAAAGGGGTAAATTATGTTACACTGATAGGGTATTATTAACAAATATCCGTAGGATACGTAAAATTATCCCAGAAAGTATATCTGTGATGTGTTTGTTACATAATGCAATAGAGGCCACGTTAGCGCAGTCGATAAAAGACTCGCTTTCAAATCCAGCTGCGACTCGCTGCAGCCCATAGCCGGTGTTCGAACCCAGGCGGTTCCGGGGTGTACCCGGCCTCTAGGAAATGGGTACCAGAGCTGGCACTCCGAGGTCAATGGAGGAACGTCGCTGTAACTACGGAGTTACGTGCGGACGGCGACACAGACGGGCAGTTTCTTATCAGCTGTCCGTACTGATGGTAGAGCGCTTGTGGTTTATATCCGTGTGCAATGACGCTGGTTCACATTTCCCGACTTTACCTTTTTTTTTTAACGTTTCACATATTTCAATATAAAAAAATATATAAGAGGGGTATTCAGTGCCACACTCATAGGTTTATATTAATAATTAAATTAATAAACGGCAGTCTTTGGCGTTCTCCAGCCTATCACACAAGGAAATATTCGTCGAATTTACAGATTAAATAGGGGAAAAGTGTAAAAAGTAGGGCTGTACCGAGTAGTGATTTTAACTATTCAGCCGAATACGAATAGCTGGACCAACTATTCGGCCGAATACGAATACGAATAGTGTATCATCATCATCAGGTGCTTTGCCGACTGGCATGGGCGATTATGCCTCGTCACAATGTGCGATCTCCTGCAGCATGTTTTAGTTCGTGTGCTGACACACCTCCATGCCATGCAACAAAACTGTCAATAATCTTCTCTCGTTGTCTTCCTCTATCCCTCCTTTCACATATCTTTCCAGTGGTCACCACAGATTCCATTTTCCCTAATCTTATAACATGGTCGAAAAATGATGACTGTCTCTTTCTGATGTCTGTGAACAGTTATCTCCCGCCTCTATTAAAACCTCTTGGTTGCTTTTTTTTAAATGGCTGGCCAAGGTATTTTAAGCATTGTTCTGTAAAACCACATCTCTGAGGCCTCAAGAAATTGTTTGGCCTCCCTACCGATTGTCCAGGACTTACAGCCATATGTTAAAACTGGATTAATCAAGTAACAGAAAGTATTGTGAACAGCACTCATAGAAAGAAGTAGAAAGATAGAAGAACACACTAGACAACATAAAAATCTAAAGCTATAGTTACCGTGCCGGGAATTGAACCTGTCACCTCCAGACGGCTTCTGCGCCTCGCCATGAATACAAGTGCACTAAGATACATGGTCAACTAGGCACCCCCATGTCTATCGTACAGCTTGAAATCCACGACTATGGAATACGGACAGAATTCATTTCAACCCATTGAAATGGCACCATAGGTTACATAAATTTATATTAACGAAGCAAATGTCGAATAACAATCACAGCAACAATTTACGAACACAGTAGACCTTATTGCCTTGTCTAGAATACACAAACATTTATTTATAGTTAAAACTGGATGTATGTAGCAAGCAAGAATTCTTTTCCTAACCTTCAACGACAAAGATATATTGCATAAGATGTTCTTCATTTTATGAAATGCAGTTTTTTCCTGTCATATTCTGTTTCTTAGTTCAGTAATGCAACTTCTATCTGATGTTATCCATGTGCCCTGATTTTTAGATTTCTATACTTGTCCCAAAACAAAACAAAAGACCTTTATTACACATTTAAGAATAGTTATTTTCTTTGATACCCCATTACTTCTGTCTTCCTACTATTCAAACTGAGACCCATTCTTCCAGTTCCGTGTTTAAAATAGATCTAAAAAAAAAAAAAAAACCAACCATAATGTCAAATGTTCGCTGAAATTTTACTTCACAAAATGTGGTACAGAATAGTAAACATTTAAAAACATTTCATGTTTTGTATCCTACTGTCAGTCAGTCTGTGGTAACTAATACCTAGGAATGAAAGTATTCTTAGTTTTATAACAAGTAACTAAACTTGTAAATTGTCACTGACAGCTAAGTTAATCCACGAAAGCGCCATTAGCTCAAAGATAACGCTTGACAGTATGAACCAAGGTGGGAAATCTTTATATGTTTAGTTTCCACCAGTTCAGAAACGGGTGTAAGGTAACCACTATGCGTATTCGGCCCGACCGCAAATATTCGGCCGAATACCGAATAGTTATTAGGTCCACTATTCGGCCCCGAAGCGAATACGAAGCGAATATTCGGTACAGCCCTAGTAAAAAGAACAATATTTTGAAAAACAAAGCGATAGGCAGGTCAAGGGTTATGAAATGCTACACTTTTAGGGTTATATAAGGAAGTTTATTTATAATGTATAGGGCTATATAAGCCAGTAATAGAGATTGCGAGTGGAGGCCTACTGGATGTATAGGTTAAAGGAAATGAAAACATTGATAAGAAGGTCAAGGGGTACATGGTGCTACACTTATAAGACTGTGTAAGGAAATATAAGTAGGATGTATAGGATTGCGTAGGAAAATATGAATAGGATGTATAGGATTACATAGGAAAATATGTGTAGAATGTATAGGTTATTTGGTAAAATATAAAAATCGATAAGTAGGTCAAGGGTTATATAATATAACACTGATCAAGTTATATACCGAAATATTTGTCGGATGCCGAGGGTCTTGTCTTGTCTTGTCTTGTCCACAATTGCCTCACAGCGTAGTGGGGAGTCGCAGTTTTCTATCCTGGGCCAGGTGTGTTGCATGTGTTGTTGTTAGTCCGTGTTGCCTCAGGATCTCTGATATATTGTCTATCCATCGTACTCTCGGTCTGCCTCTTGCTCTAGGGGCAGTAGTGTTGTTCGTTGTATGCTCGTAGAGGCAGTTGGTCGGTTTGCATTCGCATCAAGTGGCCAAACCACTCGATTTGTTGCTTCTTTATGTATTGCAGGCATGGTGTGGTTCCTACAATTGATCTAATGTTCTCGTTTCGAACTCTGTCTCTCCTTGTGACATTGGCAGTAGGTTATGTAAGGAAATGTCTATAGGATATGAATGATTATAAAAGGAAATATCTGTATGATGTATAGGTTGTATGGTTACAATTATAACTTAGACTTAAGGAAATGAGTTAACTGGACAGGGTATTAGTTGTTAGTTGTTTGACGGGAAGGAGTGGCTGTTGAATGTTTCATGAAAAACACATAAATGTATACATAAAAACCACAACGTACAAACATACGACACACTGTCAACTCTTTCACTGCAGGACAATGTTTCAACTCTTTCTCGATCGGAAACCTTGTCAGTTCTTTCACTGTCAGACCCTTGTCATCTCTGTCACTGTCGGTCAACTTGCCACCTCTGTCACTGTCGGTCAGCTTGCCACCCTTTTCCCTGTCGGTCAACTTGACACCTCTTTCACAATCGGTCAACTTGCCACTTTTTTCACTGTCGGTCAACTTGCTACCTTTTTTGCTCTCGGTCAGCTTGCCACCTTTTTCACTGTCGGTCAACTTGCACCTTTTTCCCAACAGGTAAACTTGGCACCTCTTTCACTGTCGGTCAACTTGCCACCTCTTTCACTGTCGGTCAACTTGCCACCTCTTTCACTGTGGGTTAACTTGCCACCTTTTTCACTGTCGGTCAACTTGCCACCTTTTTCCCAACAGGTAAACTTGGCACCTCTTTCACTGTCGGTCAACTTGCCACCTCTTTCACTGTCGGTTAACTTGCCACCTCTTTCACTGTCGGTCAACTTGCCACCTCTTTCACTGTCGGTTAACTTGCGACCTCTTTCACTGTCGGTTAACTTGCCACCTCTTTCACTGTCGGTCAACTTGCCACCTCTTTCACTGTCGGTAAAATTGTCACCTCTTTCACAATCGGTCAACTTGCCACCTCTTTCACTGTCGGTCAACTTGCACCCTCTTTCCCAATCGGTCACCTTGCCCCCTCTTTCACTGTCGGTTAACTTGCCACCTCTTTCACTGTCGGTCCTACTTATATTTCCTCATATAACCTTATAAGTACCCATAAACCGTGACCTACTTATTGACTTTTATATTCTACTTATTGTCCGTTGTAAACTCCTTGTTTAAAAAAACTGTGCGCTGTAAACTCCTTGTTACTACTAATATATTGCCTTCTTCTTTTGATAATACAAGTGCAGCAATAATTCATCCTTTCGCTATCAGTCCAAAGATTGTTGTAGAAAAAAAGTATGCTGATAATCTTTCACCATTGTTTCCTGGACAGATAAAAAAAGAGTAATGGCGATAGATATCTGGAAAGAAACTGACTCACGAACAGAACTGATTGCCCATGTCGGAAGTAAACGAGCAGACAGACAGACAGACAGACAGACAGACAGACAGACAGACAGACAGACAGACAGACAGACAGACAGACAGATAAAGATATGCTGGTTTTCTTCACCAGGACAACGACATCAACAGCTGTGCTGCCCTGCACGGCGCAGGATGGTGGTTCAACAACTGCGCGGCTGGTCAAGACTTGAACCCACTCGGCTTTTTACCCAGTGTAATGAATGAGCCAACTGAATATAACAGACTACTAATCCCGGGAGTAAAGACTGACGATCGGGAGTTTGTAAATAACTTTGAGTCTTTCTTGCTCATATTTGTAGACTAATCTCCTTTCCCATATTCATCCTATAGTTCATTCTTTCTTGAGTAGTAGCGGTTGAAGGGACCAGGTTACCTATACCAACATTAGAGAGAAAGTTATAATAAGACCGCGTCTGAATTATAACGACAAGCAAAGAATAAAATGACTCGGCCCTCTAGTGAGAATGCAGCAAGACTAGACAAGATTTTTGAGAAGGAAGGCGAGAGAAAGACTAGGAAAGGAATGGATAAACGGTTTATCTGAAATCAGAAAGAACAAGCCCAGCATTTATGCACTTAGATAAATATAGATCTTTTTAAAGTATCCAGAAACCATGAGTTGTAAACCCCTTTGGCTCGGTACAATGGATATCGCAACCCTTCAGCCTTGATTCCATTATAAGTACAGTTAATCTGGGAGAAATGTGGCTTTTCTGCCTACCCCCGGGAGTGAACCCAGACCACAAGGAGTTCATCACCCGGCCGCCGTGAAAGTCAGGTTTAACCAACTACGCTAGAGAGCCGGGCATAAATATAGACATAGAACTACAACGACCTAGTAGCAGTGAAACGACAAAAAAAAAAAGAAGAAAAAGAAATCTTATTTCCTTTATTAGGAGGCTTTGAATGCAGAACATAGAATCAGTGATGATATAAAAGCATATACAGAGTAGTGTATTTCACAACTGCTATTTGTGTGTGTGTGTCTGTTGTGTGCTTGCGCGCTTGTGTGAGCGTGTGTACTGTAATTTGCCAGGTGTGGTTACTGCAAGGCCTATACTCTTTACTATTTTTAATTGTCTAGATAATTAAAGCGTGCCTGATATTTTGCATGCTTATCAAAGAAATTCATTTATTCGATTCTCAGTCCTTGAAAGATCAGAAGCAAATTTGCAACCACTAATTCTGAACACACAAAGTAAAAGTAAAGGCCTCTTTTTCACGACTTTATTGGGAATATAGGGCTAGACCTTGTTTTTATAGACCAATCGGCACTTTGTGGGTGTTGTGGACAGCAACACACCGCCCACCTTTACTTCCCAGGGCTACATCTGGTACCCACTCAAGGCTGGGTCGACTTGGGGACCAAGGTCCCTTATGAAAGAAGTCCTGCTCTGTCAGGACGTGAACTCAATTCTAAACACAAACTGACACATTTTTCCTATTAGTGATTCCCTGTGTGGGTACGGGGATCCCATTTTTCGAAGAAAAGACTGCTGCTTTACAAGCAAGCTGTACAAGGCGACTGGTTCAGCATTTGCTGAAATCAGATGTTTATGGCCGCAAGGTGTCGATATCGCAGCCCAGCTTTAAACCCCATCACAACAAGCTCTTTGAAGGGTGAACGGTGAAGAACGAAGAAAAATAAGAACAAGAACAAGGAAGAAGAAGAAGAAAAAGAAGAAGAAGAAGAAGAAGAAGAAGAAGAAGAAGAAGAAGAAGAAGAAGAAGAAGAAGAAGAAGAAGAAGAAGAAGAAGAAGAAGAAGAAGAAGAAGAAGAAGAAGAAGAAGAAGAAGAAGAAGAAGAAGAAGAAGAAGAAGAAGAAGAAGAAGAAGAAGAAGAAGAAGAAGAAGAAGAAGAAGAAGAAGAAGAAGAAGAAGAAGAAGAAGAAGAAGAAGAAGAAGAAGAATCAGGAAAAGAAGAAGAAGAAAAAAAAGAAAAAGAAGAAGAAGATGAAGAAAAAGAAGATGAAGAAGAAGAAGAAGAATGTCAGGAAACGATCTCAGTGGTTCCAGAAGTTAGTACTCGTAATAAGTTCTTCTGGTTATTGATATTACTTTAAAACAAACTGATTTAAATGTTTCCAGTCCTTAGTCCAGACAAAGCGACTGAGTCTTGGGTAATGTTACGCAATTACACCGGGGCTAGAGAATTTCCTTTCACATGCCCATGTCATAAATGTTATCTCCTGACCAGACTGCTTTGAACAGACTTTTGATGAGACTAGATCAGAGGAACTGAGAGTGGACTAGTAGAGTTTGTGGCGACCAGAGGCTGGAGTTCGCACGTCAGTGTAATTCTCCGAAGAACAGGTGTTTGCCAATTAGGAATGTTTGATCTTGGTCAAGTAGGAAACACAATGGCTTCACTGACCATCTTTTCACACCGGCTAGTTAGATTCGTTGTAAACTAGATTGGGTCACTTAAGACTGTTTGCTCTAGGGATGTCAGTCCAGAATTGACTGACAGGCCACTTGTTAGCTAATTTGATCTGTTAGGTACTTCAGAGGCGTGGTTTAAGTCATCGTCTTGAGGGTTGGGTAGAACCTAGTAAAGGGAGGAGTTTAATTTGGACAATAGATAGTATACTCCGAACCTTTGGAATTCCCGACACATCGCAGCTGGCAAGCAACAAACACAGGTCGACCTAAAAGGTAAATTTTACGGTCGGATTCTGGTTTGGCGATTGAGGAAAGTTCCCAGGTAAAATATTAATTTTAATCTTGTATACATAGGTTAGGGAGTTAAGCTTAGTCTATACTACCTTTTCCTAATTTGTCTGCACATTCTGCTTGAAATAGTTCTTTGTGAGTATTCAGTATCTCAGTTAGGGAACTGCTAAACTATTCCTATTTCTTGTATGTTTGTGTCACATGTTTTTCAGTGCATGTTTTCATGTGTATAAAATAAGATGTAAACAATGACATTTGCTATAATGAAATGTAATTATATTGTTTCATGGTCAACCCAAAACATGTGCTTGGACTGTGGGAAATCATGCCCATATGTGCAGAGTTTTAATAGCTCACCATGTGCTCACTGGAAAGACAATATTCCAGACATCATGCACATATAACATGGTGGGAGTTTTCAGCACATAACCTGCTCCACGTGGTCATGTAATATCAATGTCAGCCAGTTGGAAGTCTGAGTGATGACGGACAACAGACTTAGAAAGTCAACTATCATGACATAGCATTGGAGGGAAGGCAGGATATGTGACGCCCATGTAAGACAAAAGACCTTCAGACTAGACTGGAGAGGATGTGGAATATGAAGAGTGATGGGATATATTTTATTATTATATGTTATATTAATTATTACATGTATTCTTAGTGTAAGTCAAGATACTACACGTATGTGTTTTGTTTCCATGATTACAGCGCCCATGTGAGGATCAGTCCATGAAGTAGACTACATTGTGTTAGACTCGGCCAGCTGGGAACGAGGTGGGAACGATATGGAGACCGAGGTGGGGGATGAAGTGGAGAATAAGCTGAAACAGGCAGAAAACAGGCAAGGAAGAGTTGGACAAGCTTGACAGTTCCTCACGGCTGTCAGAGGCTTATAAGTTAAGTTAACCCCTTTACGTTAACATATTACCATCATCATACCACTCTAAACCCCGGAGCTGTTTTCTCGTTGAAGCCTACCACTATCATTATTATAACTGTAGCCAGTCACTGTTTGTGTAAATCAACAAACTGGAAAGTTCATATAAACTAATTGTTAGTAAATAAAGCTGTATGTCAAGTTTTAAACTACATAGTTTGTTAAATTCCAAATGTGTCTGTTCTTACATGTTTAATTAAACTGTTAAGATAGAATACCATTTGGTGGGGGCTCAATTAATATGATAATAATTCTTTAATTTTTCATAATAACACCGGGAGAAGGTAGATGACGGAGGAATCATTTGCCCTGTCTAATAATTCATTAAGGATAATGCTATAGACATCTAAAATTCCTTTCCTTCTCTTGTGGGTACCAAGTTCAGCTAATGTTAATGTACTTAACGAGCCAATTTGGCTGTTTTCTTGGGTATCCAGGACTTTATCTGAGAGCAACATAGCTCGAATTTTAGTTCGGTTAATCTGGTGGAGGGAATGTGTTGAAAGGAAAATCCCTACTCAACATTATAAACATTTAATCCACCGCGTCACGTCACAAAGAAGAAGAAGAAGAAGAAGAAGAAGAAGAAGAAGAAGAAGAAGAAGAAGAAGAAGAAGAAGAAGAAGAAGAAGAAGAAGAATCAGGAGAAGAAGAAGAAGATGAAGAAGAAGAAGAAGAAGAAAAAGAAGAAGAAGAAGAAGAAGAAGAAGAAGAAGAAGAAGAAGAAGAAGAAGAAGAAGAAGAAGAAGAAGAAGAAGAAGAAGAAGAAGAAGAAAAAAAGAAGAGGAAGAAGAAGAAGGAAAAGAAGAAGAAGAAGAAGAAGAAGAAGAAGAAGAAGAAGAAGAAGAAGAAGAAGAAGAAGAAGAAGAAGAAGAAGAAGAAGAAGAAGAAGAAGAAGAAGAAGAAGAAGAAGAAGAAGATGAAGAAGAAAAAGAAAAAGAAGAAGAAGAAGAAAAAGAAGAAGAAGAAGAAAAAGAAGAAGAAGAAGAAGAAGAAAAAAGAAGATGAAGAAGAAGAAGAAAATGAAGAAGAAGAAGAAGACTCAAATGTGTAATCTTTAAGTGACCACCTGGGCAGTGCGTTTAAGGAGTCTGACAATAAAAAAATCAAGGGGCTCAAAGGAAAAGCTTAGAAGTTTGATATAAATTATAACCACCATACCATTGTCTTGCAAGCTGTGAATATTGTTAAGAATGTCAAAAGTGTTAAGCACGTGACATCAGCGTACAGACGAACACGACCAAGTCATAATGACAGTTTGAAGATGACCATCCAACTTTTGACACTTCCCAAAGAGGAAAGGCTTTTTTATATCCGTTTTTGTGTGTCAAGGTGTGAAGCCTATACAAAATTCATCAGCGAATGCAGATCCAGTACTGGAATGCATGGTTTCCTTTCAAGAACTGTTAGTGAAGATTAAACCTGGGTTCACTACCACGAGCATGAAACTAAGAAAGCGAGCAAAGAATGGCTTCATCTCTCCTCAACGAAACCAAAGGGGGTCATCTTCGACCTGCAAATGAATCCAGTCGACTTGGACGTCTGAGTAAAGGTGTTCTTTTCCAACATGGCAATGCTCGACCCCATACTGCCTGCGCAATGGTTAAAATCAACGAAGACCTCCACTCGCTAGACCTAACCCCAAGTGATTTCCACTTGTTTTGGAAACTCAAAGAGTCAGTAAGAGGTAA